ATAAGGTAAGCTATGCATATAATGCTTGTCAATATATTTAATTTGGTCTACGCTTATTTTTAATCGGCTCGTGTATGGTCAGCTTAGGCGCTTCTGTTGAATCACCTTGATCGTTATCTTTTATAGTGATTTACTGTTTTTCACCATCGGGATTTATAGCCGAGTATTCAAATTGTCTCCATAGTTATTATGCTGTTTGATGTTTACGATTTGCGAACGCTGTCTAATTTGTAGGTCAGACAAACAGTTTCTGTTTCCTGCTTCGCTTAAGCTTATGAATTCTTTAAAACCTTGATAATAATTAACTTCTTTAGAAGTATTCCTATTTCTTTTTCGCAATTCGTTCGTATTGTAATGGGGACCTAGTTTAATGTTGTTTTTCCGAAATCCTCTGCTATAGTAGTTATAATTCCCAATGTTAAACCTTGCTGGTATATCTATTATAATGTCTCTTGTTTAAACTATAGAATAGTCTCAATGTTTCATTAGGTACCAAGACCAAAATGTTGTGGCCTCTATCTTAGTAGAAGTCTCCTTGTTTTCGCAACTTGGTCATATTGATAGGAAGACCTAGAGGAATGCATGTTGTCAACTTTTTATTGTTTATTCTCTTTATATACTTGTTTAACTCAATTATATTCCATTTTCCATTGCTTAAATTCCTCACTTCATTCAGAAGAATACATTTTCCTTTCCATCTTGTCCGCAATCGTATCTATTCTCAGGTAATATAGGGCTTAAAGAACTGACATTTTACATAATAACCAAAGTGCAATAAAACGAAATTCCTCGTTCTGGTTTAAAATAGATAGATATATAGAGCTATGAAAACCAAGGTGCCGTGGCCTGTATTTTGGTCAGTCTCCTTTAGATGTATCGAAATGATCTGACCTCATTCCTTCAACTTGTCCGAAGTCCTCTGCTATATTATCATAATTCCCAGCGTTGGGCTGTGGACTTTGTACATTTCCAGATGTTTCACCGGCATCGTCAATCAGTCTTGCCATTCCATGCACTAAGCTACAAAGAGGCAAGTAAATTTATTGACCAAGTTTGTGCTGAACTGTTCTGTTATCACTCTTCATTTATCCTGATATATTTACCTAGTCCCTATCCTCTTGTCCTTTTGGCCAGTTTAGTGTGGCGTCATCACACCTGATGTTTACCTTGCCCCTTTTCTATTTGGTGATCCGACTCGGATCTCCCTCAGGCCCGTAGATCTTTTTCTTATCTTTCTTAGAAGCATGTACACCGTACAGAGAGCCTGGGCTCATATTCTCATGCTTGCGGTTATCAAGCCATCTCCACGCTTAATCTCCCTGATTCAACCTGTATACTCTAGGTAAGCTGTGAACATTGCCTGCTGTGCCTCAGGTGGAATTCTAGTCAAGTTGGCAATAGTGCCGAATTACTGTGATTACCAGGTCCCAAAAATTCTGGTTGCTTCTTCGAGTATATTAGCATCATTTAAAACGTATTCTCTTTATTTCTGAAGGTTTCTTATCTGCTTTTTCCTTGTGATCCCTTTTCCTCTGGTTAACGACAGTTCCTTGGTACAAGCATTTTCTTTTTTTTAGTCTTGCCGTATCCTTGCTTTATCCGCGTTTGCTTAAGCAATATGCAAGATTATCTCTAACTCTGCCTTCCATCAATCTCCTGTCAGTAAATTTTTCATTAAGAATATCAATCGTCTCCATAATCCTTCGTTTCTTTGTGTTTCATTGTATGAGTCCCTTCTATCTGTAGCCATCTAATTGATCCCGTGTCCAATCTATGCAATGTATTCCGTGATTTTTGATATTTTGGTAGCCATTTTTACGTAGGGCCTTTAATGTTCCTTGGTTCCTATGCTGATTTTTCTCTCTGACCAATATATTTCAGTTTGCAGACTACATGCTATGCAGTAAACTTCCGAGCACTTCCATTTTTCTACCTTTTTATCTTGTATGAGTAAACTTGTGAAATGTTGAAATTTCCTCCGTGGTCTCCTGAATATTCCATTTCCTTCATATTGTCCCTAGTTTTTGAGTTAATTCGCTGAAAGTTAGTTATATTCACTTTTGTGAGTCTTTATCCATCCTTATTTTTCTTTCCTAGTTCCCCCTCTGCCTTCGACTTTTCATGGTCCTTATGTTTCTCTGTATTTCTTCTCTCGAGTATCATTTTATGAGGAATATAGAATATAAATTTGTCCAATTTTTTATTCCAGAATTCCACGTCAGTTAATCGTAAACTTCTGATGGTCATGTTTCTCATTATTCCTATCTTAAGTCTCTAGTTATAATGGGACGATGCCGGCTAAACGTCTGGGAATTTGCCAGGTCCATGGTCCAACGCTGGAAATTATGATACCCACTATACCAGAGGATTATGGACAAGATGCATCCAACTTGGCTACCTTGACAGCATGACCGAGTTGGGAAAACGAAGTCAGATGACTTCTATAGCTAGATAAAATTCGCTTGGGACGTTTTAGTTGCGCATGGTTTCATCAGATGTTACAATTTTCACATATATGCATATATATACTTGTTTGCTCTAAATCCTGAATGCATGCTACATGGGGCCTGATCTAAGATAGATTTGTAGGACTAAAGACATTAAATGTAGATGGTGTTTAATCTAAGTCGGTCAGAGCAAGGTCCGTACGCTGCCGTCGAGTAACTAAAGCCCTCCCTTTATTTGGAGGATGTTTACATTTATATTCTTGGAGTATGGTCCTTACGCTGAGGTTCAGCCGACTGTTACGGTGCAAAAGTGAAGCGCGCAGATGGCCTTCATTCCGAGCAAAGGACAGTCTTGCTAGTTGGTTCAATTGAAGTTGCAACTCTTGTTTCTCGAGTCTCGAGTCGAATCTTTTCACGGTCGATCCAATGAGAAGCTTGGATAGATAGTACTGAGTTGGTTTGTCCATGAATAAACCTCGTTGCTTCAATAAAATTGGGATTTTATCCGCTTTTATTATCCGAATTTTTTTTTGCTTATTTCTTAAACATTTTGATCAAACTTTAACGGCTATTCTGCGGATCAATTGGGGGAAGCCCTTCACTCATCTATTTACAATGAGTTAAGCTATTTTAATCCTGAGAACATCTAACCGATTACAATACTATGCACGTAGTCGATTGTAATAGCAAACTCAAGCTTAAGATATATTCAGGACTCTACTTATGAACGAATAACTAATCAACAACAGTCCTTTACAAATATAAATTCTAGGTCTAGCTTTCCTTGATTTTCGCATGCAACCCATTGATACTCATAACTGTGTAGCAGATTCTTAATGTCATGGCTTTGTAGCCACCAAACTTCGAATCCCGTATGATATATCGATTAAACTTAAGTTCGAAACCGCAGTCTTTTCCTAATGGAAAAAGTATTTTGGACAGCAAGGCTAGGTTAAATTCAATGGGATTTTCAACCATTATCCCGTACACCACCGCAATATAGATGCTCAGGTTTTTTACAAAATTCTATTTTGTCAATTATTGCAGTCATTTATAAATCACATTTTTTCAATGTTTATGCTCGAACTGTGAATGTAAACGAATAGCCTCATTAAATATCTATTTAACTGAAGTTTTTTCATTTTTATCTGTTATCGAATTTCTAAGGTTCCACGAAATCCAGATTCTGGACCACAAATTGATCGAGATCGAAAAG